AAAGCGTCATGCCATCGTGAAACTCTCCCTCTTGTGCTCCTAATGGATGCTACCCAGCCTCCAGGAGGTCTAAGTGTCCCTCGTAGGTCCTGCTCTTTGTCCATCTAGGACATGGGTCTCTATTACTGCTCTCCTTATAGTGCAGTAAGTGGGATCACATCCTCTTCACCTGTGTGCCTATGTGTACTGTGAAGCCTGGCAGGACAGGCACAGGAAAATGTATGCTGGTTGACTGTAGGAGAATAATAACTGTTTATGAAATAAATGGATGCATATGTCAGTTGTTAATATTAATTTTGTTGTTGCCAGGGCACGGAGATCTGGTCCAGCCCTCTGCAGCCTGCTCCTCTGGTGAATTTGGTGACCTATCCTCAGCTGCAGCTGGTTGCTACTGTGGACCAGCAGGGATTGATCAAAGTGTGGAAAGCAGAGACTGGGTGGGAGTGGGCCTCCTTCTGCCTGCCTACCTCCTGCTCTGCAGTGGAGGCCTGTGACCATCCAGAGGGTTCTTTTCTGCTGGTGAGTGACCTGGCTCTCAGGAGCCTTTGCAGGGCCTACCTCCTCCCAAAATCTAAATACTGGCATCATGGCTTCCATGATTGGTGGAGTCTTGAGCCAGACCCTCTCCTTGGCAGACCTATTTGGTAATACCAGTGATCTAAAATAAGGAGTGAATAGTTAATAGATGAGGATTAAGGAGATGGCAGAAGTCAAAGTGATGAGCCTATCATTTGGGACTCTTTTTGCTATGGAACCTTAGTCTAGGCAGCCAAGAGATTGAGCAGACCTTTGATAGCATAGGGACAAACGTTGGAGTGTGGGGCCACCATGTATGGATTAGGTAGGATTTGCAAGTGTTACAACCCAAAGGTAAGCAGAATTTAGCACTCTGGTTACTCATCTGGAGCACATGAGAATAATTTCTCGATAATGTTAATAGTGTCCCACAGCTCACATTGTTTCCAAATATAGTGTTCAGTACACACTTAAAACTAGGCACATGAAGAGATGAGGTCACATGAGCTAGAACTGGCACTAGAAACAGCACACAATATAGAGTGAGTCACAGGGCTTCAGACACCTGAAGTTGTTGTTCAGGGAGATAAATATTAACAGAAAACAAAAATTTTCTAAATCTGTTATTTTAGTTATTTAAAAAATAAAATGTAACATATTTAGAAAAGAACTAGATTTAATGGAAATTCTAGAAGAATTCATTAACAAAGATTAAGAACCCAGTGGTTGGATATAAAAGCAGGGGACATGCCTGAGTCACACTGACTTCCTCATCTTTAACTGGACATTCCAGTGTATCATTCACAGCCCTGTTGTGCTAGGGCAATGAGAAGATGGCCCAGGGTCCAAAGAAAACTCCTGGGGTTGAGATGTTAGGATGTAAGGTTTACTGAGAAAAGCTTACAGGGAAGATCCAGTGGTAATAAGCTTCTCCAGAAAGTCCAGTGGTGACAGGTTGCACAGCTGCACTTCCATTTCACATAGCCAGTCTGTGCTTCACCAGAAAAGCACACCTACATTCTCCCATGATGCTTTGTTCAGTGACGGCAGCTGGTTCAAGCTCTTTCCATTCCACAGTGCTCAGATCCATGCCAGTGACTGCAGGGATGGGGTGTAAAAGTTAGGCCGAAGAAGTAGTCATATTATCAGTTTGCTTTGTTCTTTGCATGATCAGCATCTCAATGAGCAGCTATTCTGACGTGTGCAAGAAAGCAGTTCTTACAGATAACACTGGTTTGCCCTCTTTGTAACACACCATGAGAGAATCAGGGTCTTCTGAGATAGTATTCACTTGGACATTTGGTCCAGGCTTGTTCGCTGTGTCTGTCTATCTGTCTGTCTCTGTCTCTGTCTCTCTCTCTCTCTCTCTTTTATTTATATATGACAGCAGAATGCATTACAATTCTTATTACACATATAGAACACAATTTTTCATATCTCTGTTTGTATTCAAAGTATATTCACACCAATTCATGTCTCATACGTGTACTTTGGATAATGATGTCCATCATATTCCACAATCATTTCTAACTCCATGCCCCCTCCCTTCCCCTCCCACCCCTCTGCCCTATCTAGAATAGTTCATCTATTCCTCCCACGTTCCCCCCTCCCTACTTGCTATGGGTCAGCCTCCTTATATCAGAGAAAACATTAGGCATTTGGTTTTTGGGGATTGGCTAACTTTTCTTAGTATTATATTCTCCAACTCCATCCATTTACCTGCAAATATCATGATTTTATTCTCTTTTATTGCTGAGTAATATTCCATTGTATATATATGCCACATTTTTTTTTTATCCTTCATCTATTGAAGGGCTTCTAGGTTGGTTCCACAGTTTAGCTATTGTGAATTGTGCTGCTGTAAACATTGATATGGCCGTGTCCCTGTAGTATGCTGTTTTTTAAGTCCTTTGGGTATAGACTGAGGAGTGGGATAACTGGGTCAAATGGTAGTTCCATTCCCATTTTCCAAGGAATCTCTATACTGTTTTCCATATTGGCTACTTCAATTTGCAGTCCCTCTAGCAGTGTATGAATGTACCTTTTTCCCCACATCCTCACCAACACTTATTGTTGTTTATCTAATAGCTGCCATTCTGACTGGAGTGAGATATCTTAGAGTAGTTTTGATTTGCATTTCTCTGATTGTTAGAGATGATGAACATTTTTTCATATGTTTGTTGATTGATTGAATATCCTCTTCTCAGAAGTGTCTGTTCAGGTCCTTGGCCCATTTGTTGATTGGATTTTTGTTTTGTTTTGTTTTGTTTTTTTGATGTTTAGCTTTTTGAGTTCTTTATAAACCCCAGAGATTAGTGCTTTACCTGATGTGTGAGGGGTAAAAATTTGCTCCCAAGATGTAGGCTCTCCATTCACCTCACAGATTGTTTCTTTTGCTGAGAAGAAACTTTTTAGTTTGAATCCATCCCATTTATTGATTCTTGTGCTATAGGAGTTTTATTAAGGAAGTTGGGGGCCTATCCCACATGATGAAGATTAGGGCTACTTTTTCTTCTATCAGACACAGAGTCTCTGATTTAATTCCTAGGTACTTGATCTACTTTTGAGTTTTGTGCATGGGAGAGATAGGGGTTTAATTTCATTTTGTTTCATATGGATTTCCAGTTTTCCCTGCACCATTTGATGAAGAGGCTACCTTTTCTCCAGTGTATGTTTTTGGCATCTTTGTCTAATATAAGATAATTGTAATTTTGTGGGTTAGTCTCTGTCTCCTCTATTCTGTACCATTGGTACCTGCCTGTTTTGGTGCCAATACCATGCTGTTTTTGTTCATATTGTTCTGTAGTATAGTTTAAGTTCTGGTATTGTGATGCCACCTGCTTCACTCTTCCTGCTAAGGATTGCTTTAGCTATTCTGGGTCTCTTATTTTTCCAGATGAATTTCATGATTGCTTTTTCTATTTCTATGAGGAATGCCATTGGGATTTTGATTGAAATTGCATTAAATCTGTATAGTGCTTTTGGTAGTATGGTCACTTTGATAATATTAATTCTGCTTATCCAAGAGCAAGGTAAATCTTTCCATCTTCTAAGGTCTTCTTTGATTTCTTTCTTTAGGGTTCTGTAATTTTCATTATATACAGCTTTCACCTCTTTTGTTGATTCCCAAGTATTTTATATATTTTTTTGAGGCTATTGTAAATGGGGTAGTTATCCTCATTTCCCTTTCAGAGGGTTTGTCACTGAAATGCCTTTGATTTATGAGTGTTGATTTTATATCCTGCTACTTTGCCAAATTCATTTACTAGTTCTAGAAGTTTTCTGGTGGAACTTTTTGGGTCTTCTAGGTATAGAATCATATTGTCAGCAAATAGTGCTAATTTGAGTTTTTCGTTTCCTATCTGTATCCCTTTAATTTCTTTTAATCTAATTGCTCTGGCCAGTGTTTTAAGAACTATGTTAAATAGAAGTGGTGAAAGAGAGCATCCCTGTCTTGTTCCAGTTTTTAGAGGGAATGCCTTCAGTTTTTTTCCATTTAGAATGATGTTGGCCTGGAGCTTAGCATAGACAGCTGTTATGATGTTGAGATATGTTCCTGTCATCCCTAATTTTTCTAGTGTTATTTTTCACATGAATTTTTCTAGTGTTTTTTTTAAATGTTTCTTAGTTATGGATGGATACAGTACATTTATTTATTTATCTTTAGTGGTTCTGAGGAGCGAACCCAGGGCCGCACACATGCTAGGTGAGAGCTCTGCCATGAGCCACAACCCCAGCCCCTCAGGCTTGCTCTTAACTTTTCTTCTAACTTGGCTAGCTTCCTGGGAAAGGGGCAGTGTAGGGTCATGGTGTTTAGTATTACTGTGGTTTTGTTGTTGTTGATTAGTATTACAGTGTTTTTGTTGTTGTTTGTTAAGAGTGATGGATTCAGTTAAGGGCTAGACTGTAGCACCTCTCCAGTGAGGCCGTCACATGCAGTGGTGGCTGTGCCATTCAGAAAACATATGAACACACTTCATGAGTTGCTCAGGAGCCTCTCAGGGAGTCAGTGGTCCTAGAGATGGGGGGCCTCTAAGACCACTGCATCTAGGGAGTGACTGAGCAGAAGGGGAGCTGCATCCTCCTACAGAGGTGACTGTGCTTATGCCTCAGATCTGACTTTGTCCTGAAGATGCCAGGTATGTTCTTAGCAGGAAGGCTTCTGTGGGTGTTGCTTCCAGGACCCAAGCACAACATGCAACTGGGGGCAGAGTCACAGGCTCAGGAACTATGAGCCTCCACTCCCAGAAGGGGCCCATGTGCAGTCAGCAGTTTTTGTTCTAAGGTATGACAAGCTTTGGTACCAAGGCCATGGGTAGCATAGGCCATTATGGGTGATCCAGTGTCTGGTAGAGGCCTAGGAGGAGGTTACTAAAGGCTGTGTGGTACAGAAATCCCTGGGGGCACTAATGAGGTGCTTATAATGTTGCAAAGTGGACAGTTTTTCCTCCCTTTCCCTCCTTTTTTCTTTAATTTTTCTTTCTTTTCTTTATACCAGGAATTGAATGCAGGGTATGCTTTGCCACTGAGGTATATCCCCAGTCCTTTTTTAACTTTTGAGATAGGGTCTTACTCAGTTGCTGAGGGTTTCACTAGGTTGCTGAGGCTGGCCTTTTAACTTGTGATTCTCTTGCCTCAGCCTCCTCAGCCATCGGAACCACAACACCTGTTTATGAACAGTTTCAAGAGCCTTTTGTTATGAAAGTTGTGAATACCACTATAAAGAGGCCCAAAGAAGGGGCTGGGGACGTGTCTCAAGCGCGCTCGCCTGGCATGCGTGCGGCCCCTGTTCGATCCTCAGCACCACATACAAAGGAAGATGTTGTGTCCGCCGAGAACTAAGAAAAAATAAATAAATGTTAAAATTCTCTCTCTCTCTCTCTCTCTCTCTCTCTCTGTCCCCCACCCCTCTCTCACTCTCTCTTTAAAAAAAAAAAAAGAGGCCCAAAGAAAATTTGTAAATGGGGAATATATGGTCTACAGTGAGACAGTGAGCAACAGCTTGCTGCACAAGAAGCACAATAAGCTAATATTATGGCACTGAACTTTTGCAAACACAAAGGATTTTGTTGATGGTCAGCAACAAGGATATAGGATGCAACCTCATCTGTCTTCCTGATTGGCCAGCAGCAAAGGATTTTAAGTGGTAATGTAAGGGGAAATAGAGGGTGCATTCGTTGAAACCAGGAAAATTTTGATGAAATAGTACGCAGCACACACTGATCCAGGTGGATCTGTCCTGCATTGTTGCAGGCATCCCTGGTTTTAACCTAGGTCTCTGAGGCTCTGTTCTTATTCCTCAGTGAAGAGTTGGTTCTCCCAGGCCCTCAAGATTATTTTTAGTGTGGGCTGGGGATGTTGCTCAGTGATAGAGCATTTTGCCTGGCAAGCATGAGGCCTTGGGTTCGATCCCTAGCACAGCCCCCCAAAAAAAACAATCAAAACCAAAATTATTAAGGTCCTAGGGGTCTGTGCCTGTGTCCTGAAAAAGAATTTGAATAGCATTTTTTTTTTTTTTTTGCAGTACTGGGGATTGAACCAGGGCCTCACACATGCTAAGCAAAGTTTTGTCCACTGAGCTACATTCCTACCTCCTTTGAACAGTTTTTTTTTTTTTTTTTTTTTTGAGACAGGGTCTTGCTAAGTTGTTGAGGCTGACCTTGAACTTGTGATCCTCTTGCTTCAGCCTCCTGAGTCTCAGGTTATAGGCATGGGCCACTGTGCACAGCTCGAGCAGTTTTTAAGAATAGGAAGTTGCTGTTTTATGACTTAGCCTTAGTAGCACCTCAGAAGATCTAAAAGATATCAAGTTTTTTTCCTTTCACATTGTGGGTGTTGAGGAGGACTGGTGATTTTGTCATGGACCCATCTCTATTTTGAGTTTTTGTTTCCTTCCCTTGAATTTTCTTATTTCTTCTTTTTTCTTTCATGAATGCTTTAGGGAAGGGGGAGAGCTTCTCTATCCTGGTTATATTTGTAAGTAAATTACCCCCAAAGAATCCCAATTAAGTGTTGGGGGATCCCTGTAGCAGTGCTTACCTTACTGGCTTCGGAGGCCCTGAGCCTAAGCTAGGAATGAAGTAGGCCCTTATCACATTGGTGAACTGTGGACTGAGTGGAACCCCAAATCTGTTGGCCATTGTGTAGTTATCTAGCAGGGTGACTATGGTAAAGACAGGTAGGCGAAGCATTGTCACTGCTTTTAAAGAAGTTGATGCCTCTGGGTGACACAGGTGTTATTCCCAGTGTTATGGTTTGGATGTGAGTAACCCAATCCATGAATAAATCCATGAATAAATCCTCCTGATGGGATTAACTGAGTGGTGACTGAAGGTGGATAGAGTGCGGCTGAAGGAGGCAGGGGGCATTGAGGGTGTGCCTTTGGGACATATGTTTTATATCTGGCAAGTAGAGTCTTTCTCTGCTTCCTAATCATCATGTGAGCTGCTTCCCTCCTCCACACTCTTCCCTCTGCCACACTCTCCCCTCCGCCATACTTTTCTCTCTGCCACACTCTCACCTCCACCATACTTTTCTCTCTGCCACACTCTTCCCTCCGCCACACTCTCCCCTCCGCCACACTTTTCTCTCTGCCACACTCTTCCCTCCGCCACACTTTTCTCTCCGCCACACTTTTCTCTCCGCCACACTCTTCCCTCCGCCACACTCTTCTCTCTGTCACAATCTTCCCTCTGCCACACTCTTCTCTCGGCCAGCCACACTCTTTTGCTGTGATGTTCTGTTTTACCTCAAGCCCTAAGGAATGGAGTCAGCTGTCTGTGGACTGAAATCTCTGAAACTGTGAGCTCCCAAATAAAGACAGTTATAAAGGAGGAACAGTTTATCAGGTCTATCACAGCAGTGAAAAAGCTGACTAAAACATCTAATAACCCAGAACATCAGAATCTTTGTTGGTGTGGAGACATTAGGCAACAGCAATAACTCAGGCATTTTATGGGATCCTGGTGAGCCACCTGCTTTCAGGAGTGAGGGCCTAAGTACATCACATGGTGACTGGTCTTTTTTACAACCACTGGACCCATATGTTGGTCAGGTTGTTAATCTCCCTGCTGAGTGCTCTGTAGAGTGGGAGCCACAGTCAGGTGGAAACACGGCCTCGGCCTCCTGAGTCTTTGGGATTACAGGCATGGACACTGTGCCCAGCCTGATGAGCAAATATTTTTAAAGATTAAGAACAGCATGGTATTGACATTAAATATGAAGAATGCTTATAATTATATTTATTTATAATTATATTTATATTAATTATATTAATATTTATTTATAATTATATTTATATTAATTGACATTAAATATGAAGATGCTTATAATTATATGTGTTTGTGTCTCCTATTCTATTCCACTAGGAAACACAAACACATATAATTATAAGCATCTGGTACTTGACAAAGGTACCAAAAATATATGTTGAAGAAAAGACAGCTTTTTTAACAAATGGTGCTGGGAAAACTAGATATCTATGTGTAGAAGAATAAAATTATATTCCTGTTTCTCACCCTGCACAAAAGTCAAATCAAAATGCATCCTAGACTTGGAATTGGACCAGAAACCTTGCAACCACTATAAGAAAACCTAGGGTCAACATTCCATCATGTGGGAGCAGACACCAGCTGCCTCACCAAGACCCCTAAAGCTCAAGAAATAAAGCCAAGACTGAATGGGATGCCTTTGAATCAAAAAGCTCTGCATAGCAAGGGGAATGACTGAGTGAAGAGTGAGCCTACAAAATGGGAAGAATTCTTTGCCAGCTATTCCTCTGACAGGGGATTAATACCCAGAATATATTAAGAACTCAAAAAATTCAATGCCAAAGAACAAATAATCTAGTCAACAAATGAGCAAAATAACCAAATTTCTCAAAAGAAGAAACACAAATGGCCAATAAATACACAAAAGAATCTCCAACATCTCTAGCCATAAGCAAAATGCAAATCAAAACTACACTAAGATTTCATCTCATTCCAGTGAGAATGGCATTTATCAAGAACACGAATAATAAATCCATGTGAAGGTGTAAGGGAGAAAGTACACTGACACGCTGTTGAGACTGCAGATTAGTAAACCACTCTGAAAAGTGTGGAGATTCCTCAAAAAATTAGGAATGGAACCACCAAATGACCCAGCTATCCCAGTTCTTGGTATATATCCAAAAGGTTTAAAGTCAGGATACAACAGTGACTCAGCCACATCTGTTTTTAGAAGCATAATTCACAGTAGCCAAGCTATGGAGTCAATCTAGGTGCCCTTCAATAGATGAATGGATTAGAAAAAATGTGGTATATATACACAATGGAGTATATACTCAGCCGGAAAGAAGAATGACACATTGTGGCATTTGCTAGTAAATGGATGGAACTGGAGATTACAATGCTAAGTGAAATAAGCCAGTCCCCAAAAGTCAAAGGTCAGATGTTGTCTCTAATATGCAAAAGCTAATCCAAATAGAGGGGGCACAAAACAAGAATTGACAGATCAGTGGAGTAGACCAAGAGGAATGAAGGGAAGGTAGGAGGGATAGGACAGGGAACAACAGCAGAATGAATCTGGCTTAACTTCCCCAAGTACATATGTGAATATGTCAGAGTGATTTTCACTCTCACGTACATCCACAAAACACTCAAAAAAAAATCAGTTAGTAAAGCGATCAGTAAAGTTGAGAGATGGGAACAAGGGGAGGGAGAAGGGGAGAGAAAGAGGAAGTCTAATAAAATCAAAGGTGGTATTTTATTATATCCAAATTTAAAAATCCATTAAAATATTATAAATTGGATGAAGAGAAATAGCTATTTTATGCAGGGAATTGGAGGAATATAGTTTGAGGGATTTTGAAAGCTGCATACTCTTTGGTCTAGTGGTTCCAGTTAGGGTCCTTCCCTGTCCCAGCACAGACACATAGTGTCCAGGTGTGTGCAGGAGTATTCTCTGCAGCAGTGATTGTTGAACAGTTTAAATTTCTATCAGTAGGACAGGAAATCAAAAGAAAAGGTCCACTAATGTGGAGATTCCAAGGAGTATTTTCAGTGTAAAACTAAAAGGCCGGTTGCAGCACAGCATGCCATTGTGACTGTGGATGCCTTTGCCAATGGGTAGAAAGGCACGAAAGGGTCGCATGCGAATCCTGAAGGGAGGTGAGCAGAAGCTTTGAAGTCTCTGTTGTTTGAATGTATTCATTTTTGTCTGTGTATTTATTTATTTTTGCCATCCTAGGGATGGAACCCAGGGCTACATGCATGCTAGGCAAGCACTCTACCACTGAGCTACACCCTAGTCCCATGAGTGTATTTGAAAAAATATTCTAAGGTGCAACCTCAAGTAAGTGGCACTTGCATCCTGTGGGGGCAGCAGTTAAACGGTGGTTTCCATTCTGGTGAGGACACGTCAGAACATGATGCTTCCTGCTGGGCTCAGGGCCTGGCCCCTCTCACACTCTGCTGGCCTTTTGGTTCTTTATCTGTTGCAGGTGGCTTGTGCTGAAGGGACTCTCTACACACTGACAGTGCCTCAGCTGCAGGTGGTCTCCAAAGTGACTTTGTTTCCCAGTCCCTTTGTGAGCCTCCTCTGCTCTCCTGACCGACAGTGGCTGTTTGCATCTGCACACAATTCAGACCTAGGCCCAAAGGTCAGTGCCAAGGGAACCCTTTCCTTGGGGGAGGCCTCGCCTTGTGAGAGGAAATAGAGGGTCTGGCCTCCGGAGTTGCATCCTGTGAGCTCAAGAGCTGCTTTGTGCTTAAGACCAAGCCCCGTGGCTGGCAGGAGTGAGCCCTGTTGCTCCCAGGAGCCACATTCTGTCCGCAGGGGGCTCTGTTCCCAGCAGTCTGCTTCTAGCAGAAGGGACACTTGGAAGTCCCTGGCCCCGGAGAGCGCTCTTTTCTGGCAGCCATGCTGCCTGTCAGCTAGAAGGAGCCGGCCTTGCTGGGGAGGCAGAAGTGTTCAGATGGAACAGGTTTGGGACCTTAGTGACAGACTGGAGGAAAACGTTCCAGAGCCTTTGGTGGTCTGAGAATAGTTTCAATGAGAGCATGAGTGAGGGGAGCATTTGGTGTCTGAAAAAGGAAATGGTGGGCATGTCTTCAGTGCTGCCTTCTTCCTGTGCCATAATGCTGAGTCCCAGTGACATGCATGCAGAAATGGCTTTCATTTGCCAGGCGATGAAGCACTTTTTTTGTTGTTTAGGGGATCAAACTCAGGGGCACTCTACCACTGAGCTATGTCCCTTGCGCTTTTTCTTTTTTGTTTCGAGATGAGGTCTTGCTGAGTGGCTGAGGGTGGCCTCAAACTTGTGATCCTCCTATCTCAGCCTCCTGAGTAGCTGGGATTACAGGCATGGGCCACTGTGCCCAACAAATAAAATACTTTTTGAGTGACAGGATTTGGACTGGGAAATTAGATCTTAGTAAAATATAGACAGTTGGTTATGGTCTTGTGGAGGAGGACAGAGAGAGAGCAAAAGTTGTTGCAGAGCAAGAAGTAGGGTGGGGAGCCTCAGGACCTAGAAGCCAGGGAGGTTAAGTGGTCAGAGAACAGACAGGTTCAAAGAGGGCATAGAGGGAACTACCAGGAACAGGCTGGGGTCTATGGGAGGCCTAAGGAGTCACTGAAGAGATATGCCAGGGAGACATGTGACATCAGCAAAACATGACAACAGCTGGTCACAAATAGAAATGCCATTTATGTGATGGATCTGTCACACCAACACCAATCTTAGTGGGAATGGCATATCAGGATGTTTCCAGCAGGGCCAGACATAAGCTGGGATTAATCTGAAACAGCTTGGTCCAGCCGGGTGTGGTGGCACGCACCTGTAATTCCAGTGGCTCAGGAGGCTGAGACGGGAGAATTGCGAGTTCAAAGCCAGCCTCAGCAAAAGCAAGGCACTAAGCATCCCAGTGAGACCCTGTCTCTAAATAAAATACAAAATAGGGCTGGGATGTGGCTCAGTGGTTGAGGGCCCCTGAGTTCAGTGCCCAGTTTAAAAAAAAAAAAAAAAAGCTTGGTCCATTCATAGCCTGGAAGGAGGGTATGCGGTGGCACAGGCATACAGGCATTGTGGGCTATGCAGACAGCCTGGTGCCCTGGCCAGGCCCGGGATGCAGGAGTCAGGCTGGGCATGGGAGGTTTTCTGAGTGCCCAGGGTCTGAGAAGCCACTCCTTCATCTACACGGTGACCATTCAGGGGTATTTCCCCAGGTGTTCTACACTCAGTCCTTGCTGCACCCATCGGAAGATGAACTTCCTGTTTCTACCACCCTCACTGTCCGGTTGAGTTCCAAAGCCTGCTGGGCCCCTGATGAAGCTGCCAGGCTGATTGTTATGCACAGAAATGGCAGTGTCAGACAGCTGGTTGTCACTACCTTTGAGTTAAAAGCCATGAAATCCAGGGACAGAGTGAGCATTCTGGGTAAGAGTCCCCCATGCTGGCCACGGTCTGCACATCACCAGCATCACAGTGTGGTGTTTCTAGGGCGGGTTTCGGTGTCTCTTTTGAACACTTGTTCCTCTCTCCCAGGGGTGTAGCCCAGTAGAAGTTACATTGTGATTTTATGTCCTGGTGGAAAGATGGTGCACATGTTGGGCCCCCTTCATGGTCCTGAGATTCAGACACTAATACATGTCCACAGATTCCCCGTCCCAAGTGATCTTCCTGCTTCCATTTATTACTACCTTTCTCTTCCCGATTATGTCAAAGCCCCTGCTCTCAGCATCGTGTACAAAGAAGAGTAAAAGCTAAAATTACTTTATTCCCCAAGGAGTTTCTAGTCTAGTAAGAACCGTGACCCTCCCTGCTATCTCCTCTATTTCCTAGGCCCCACATTACTCTGATAGGCCTTACTTTTGGTTCTTGGCATTTTTTTCCTTTGTATTCTTTCGTTTTCATATACTATGACTAAATTTTGCTCTGAGCTTCCTGGCAGTTGATGAAAAAAGGGAAACAGGATGTATAATACGTGCCTTGTCTGATATAATGAAACACACAGATTCTTCTTAAGAGGTAATTTTTTTTTTCCTGTAAAAAGGAATGCCATACAGTATAATGAACTGTATCTTAAAGAGGAGTTTTTGGCAGATGTCATACAGTTATCCCATGGCCATTTCTTCTTTCACTCTGTCTTAGAAGGGTATCTTCAACTTCTTCCCTTCAACCAAGGGAAGAGGTAAAGGGAGCCCTGGTTCCCTGAATGGTTCTGTGTACCACATGCTGTCAGTCATTCCCATAAGCATATGGCATTGAGTCCACCCTCTGTGATTGCAATGTTACAATCACTATTCTGTTGCTGATGAACTGGAGATTTAGGGGAGTAAATGCATGGATCAGGGTTGAATGCCGGTCTAACTGCAAAGCAGTGGAATAAGTGTGCCACATCATCTTAAGTGATATCTCTGATAACTCAGAGAAAGCCAATCTGCGTTTTTATTCCAAAAAGCACAACAGATGGCCAGTTTCCTCTTGCCAGACGCCTTGATGCCTCCTCACCTCATGCAGAGCCATGGCTCTCAGGTGATCCTGCTGACCTCTGGGTCAGAACTGGTTCTCTTCACCATACATGGTCTGCAGCTTGAGGCCTTCCAGGACCACCAGAAGCCCATCACAGCCCTATGGGTGGTGAGTGCAGCGTGCCCTGCCCCTGCCATGCTCTCCTGCAGGAGCCCACACCGTGGCCTCACTTGACTTCCTCTCAAGGGCCCAGAGCGAGTCATCACCTCTTCCTTGGACCTCTCTCTGCGTGTCTATACGTGGAATAAGAAAAGTAACTTCCCAGCCCTCAAGAGCTGCTATCACTTGCTTGGGGGATCCCACAGATGGGCCAGGTAATCGGCTGTGTTTCTTCGTGCTGCCTGTAAAAATGGGCTATGTGGCCTACAAAGCCAAGTGTCTGTTTTGTTTTGGAGACGGGGTCTTATTGTGTTGCTCAGGTTGGCCTTGAACTCCAGGGCTCAAGCACTCCTCCTTCCTCATTGTCCGAGTACCTGGGACTACAGGCCTGTGCTGTCACACCTGTCTCAAAGAAGTTTTTTAAAGGAAATGTTGGAAAGGGTGTTAACAGGACTTAGTCATGTGCCCATCCTGCCCCTTACTTACTGGACGTGAGACCAGCTTCTGCATGCTCTGCTGCCTTTTCTGTTAAACCAGACTGCTCGCTCTAGGCATATATGTCATCTCCTGTGATGCACAAACCAGCCATATGCGGTTGGCATCATCCACAGGAGAGACAGGCTGAGAGATGTGGATGATTTGTTCAAAGTCCCACAGGGATTGCATGGCCAAGCCCAAGTAGGACCTTGACTTTGGCCTTATGAAAACTTGACTGGACCCATGAGCCCTTGTGGTTCAGTCTCCTCCATTCAAGAGAGCAGTGAAAAAAAAAAAAAAAAGCAGTGAGCCTGTCCAGAAATTGATAAAATTAATTCTAAATTCTGGGGAAATGACTCAGATTTGCCCAGATTATATTAGATGCTTCTCTTTAAAAACGTATCTTAGAACAGCTAAAATCACCATGATTCAGGCTGATACTGTCAGGAGGGTCCAAATGGTATTTCCACTTGAGTGTGCCAGTAATTTGCCAGTTGTGACAAATGACTTTAGGCCTAGAGTAAGCAAGAGATAGAAAGAGGGCTGGATGGGGTTGACTGGGTGTGAGAAAGCACAGAAGGCTGAGGTTGATCTTCGTGAAAGAGCTTTTACTGTTTAAATATTGACCCTTTTTCAGATTAACACCTGGCATGCCTTTCTCTTTGCAGAGGATTTAGTCATGTGGAAAGTGACATCATGAGCATTGTGGGTGTGGAAGCCAGAAGCAACGGAACAAGTATTCTGAGATCATATTGCTTCAAAGTTCAGTGTGGCCAAGAAGCTTGCACCGGTTGAAGCTATCTCACTTTGGGAAAGAGCCTGCGTGGCATATAAAAACTAATGATGTTATCAGTGTTGGGAAAGGAGAGTCCTTCTCACATATTTACTGTGTGTCAAGTGCACTGTGCTCTGTGACTTTTAAATCCTCTCATAACAGGCCAATGAAGTAGGTACTATCTTCTTTGTTTTTCAGACAAGGAAAATAAAATACAAAAGGTGAGTAATTAGCCATTATTATCCCCATTTCCAGATGCTAAGCAACATGCCCAAGATTTTTCAGATTATTGGTGGCAGACAGGAGTTGAATAAAATTCTGAGGGTACCAGAAAGCCCATAATTAAATTATTAGGATTATAAGGGTTTATTTTATCTGAATATACCATGAACTGAGTATTTTTAATTCTAAATTCTGTTTTATGTGCTTTAGACACGTTAGTTCTTGCTGTCACATAGATGGATTTGTGGTACCCTGTTATATAACCCTAGAGCTGCCATTTTTTGTTTTGTTTCATTGGTACCCGCTCCAATTGGTCAGTATGGAAGCCTGGCTGGGTTGTGGGTGTATCATTCAGAGTTCTTAATTGTAAGCAACAGGAGCAGACACTGACTGAAACCAAACAAGGAATTTATTGGAAGGAAATGGAGTAGTCCACTGGGTCATTGGGAAAGTTGGACAAACAGGATGGAACAGAGTGGCCAGGCAGCAGGAGACACGCATGTCCTGCTCCAGCAAGTCTGACTTGAACCACCCCTGGGCTCCATTTCCCTCAGGCTCTGTGCTTTGCTACCACTGTTCTTGTTTGTCACTGAATAGGCACTGTGGCCACCACAAAAACACTTCCCAGCTGCTCTGTAGTGTGTTCAGAGTGTGAGAGTGTGTGTGTGTGTGTATGCGCACACGCACACTTGCATAACACCCACTCCACTGAGATAAGGAGGGGGAGAGGAGAATCTGGCTCCTTCAGGTTCAATAGCAAGTTCTCCCAACCAAGATGTACATGGTAAGAAATTCTCCAAAAACACTTTGTACTTTGCCCAATACAATAATGTCCCATTTCCTATATTAAACCTTTAAAACTTTTTTTTTAACCTAGCATAGCTATAGCAGCTGTATCCTGTGACCAAGACTATATGGGGTCATTGCCCAAGGTCTTCTACTGGCTCTTAAAACTGTCAGCGAGGGGTCTTTTCTAGTTCCATCGTAATGCTGTGTAATGTTCTGAGCTCCTGGCCCGAGTTGTAAGGATGACCAGGACTGAGGTGTCTTGACAGGCAGCAATGAGGAGGGGAAGGAAACGAGAAATCGGCTGACGTGAAAATTCTATGACACAGCAAGAAGGGAAAGAGCTGTTGCATTTAGAAGGTCAAAGGGAATTCATGGAACCGAGAACACAGAGTTTGCTAAAGATACAGTGATAGAGGTTGGGAAATTGGTGAGAGATTGGAGATAAGAATGTTGAGTTTATAGGTCCACCTGAGAGGTTTGGGTCCCTGGGCACTGAGGGACACAGGTACAGTTCTATAAGTCCTCAAGGGCAGGAAGGAATTAGACCCATACCCACCCTCCTTGGGAAAGCCTGCATGTGTTGGCTCTTACAATAGGGTGGTACATCTGGTCTGGTGGCCCTACCCAAGAAAGCTTACAGCTCTAGGGATCCCCACCCTCAGGGTGTGTGACTGCTGGGTAAGGGAGATTCATGGGGAACACAGGAAGCTCTGGTATGTAAGGAAATAATAAAGGGAGACACAGAAACAAGGTGCAGAGGCAGGAAAGTGGCTCCTTGTCCAAGCGGCCACTTTTATTTATACCAGTAGGTTGCATTAGGTCCTTAGCATCACAACTATATTATTGTATCAGTATATAAGGTTGCTTATTCTGCAGTTGCAGTTGGCAGTTACAACATGCAATGTCGGGTGCTTTGTGCAGCTCTTAAGAAACTTCATTGTCTAAAGTTGCTGTTTAGTGGGCAGATCCAGGAGCACTGGAGCTTGGTGAAACATTGTAGTTATCTAGCAAGCAAATTCCTTTATTCCCAGGAGTTATGTGCCCAAGATCAAGGCTGAAACTGATAAAACTCTTAACACAGACTTCCTCATGAAGAACATTGCTACAGGGGCCAAGCAATTAAGTTTCCCATCAGCCAGGCGTAATGTGCCTTTGCACAGAAACTTCCTGGCCACCAAGCATGCCACAATGAAAATTTATCAGAGACCCCACTCCCAAACAGAGAACCCTACACTAGTAACTCTTGTTTATCTTGCTGAAGGTGTGTGTTAAATCTGGCAGATAGGCTTTTACCAGAACAACATGGTCTTCGGGGCATGTTGCCCTAGCCTTGGGAAGAAGCACCTGGAGAATACGCCATGTTCTCAAGTTCTCTCAAGTGCAAAGTCTGAAAGTTGTTTGTTTCCATAGCACTTAGTAGGCACTGCTGCACTGGGAAGTGTGAGGACCTACAGAAGTCCACAGAAACATGCACAACTCTGAACCTTCTTCATGTCTTATTATTGCAAGTTAGAAATGAGGTAAGGGTGACAAGGATCATCATCATAATTGAGTATTGTCCTGCAGGTGCTAATACATGTAGGACCTTTAAAAAAATTATAAATTTTTAAAAACATTAGAAAGGAAGATGTATATTTTTCATAATTTCTGAACTAGATTATCTCTTTTAGAAAACTAAGAAAATTTTAAGAATTAGTAAGCAAAAATTCAGCATGAGACTGGGAATTGAACCAAATAGTGCTTAACCCAGGTCTTTTTATTTTTTATTTTAAGACAGAGACCTGCTAAGTTGCTGAGGCTGGCCTTGAACTTGTGATCTTCCTGCCTCAGCCTCCTCAGTTGCTAGGATTACAGCTGTGCACCACTACACCTGGTGAAAATTTTTTTTCTTAAATAAGTGATAAGGGGGGAGAGAGGAGAGTCTGGTTCCTTCAGGTTCAATAGCAAATGCTCCCACCCAAGACACACATCATGAAAAATTCTTCAAAAATACAAAGGAAAACTTACAAATAGCAAATAGGGATAAAAAGCTATTTACTACTTGGAGGGAAAAAATCCACAAAGCTTTTCTAGAGTAATAAAGAATAGAGAGATAATCCTGGGCTAGGGTTGTGGCTCAGTAGAATGCTCACCTAGCATGTGTGAGGCACTGAGTTCGATCCTCAGCACCACAGAAAAATGAAATATATTGTGTGCCCACCTACAACTAAAAAATAAATATATTTTAAAAAAGAATATAGAGATATCCGTAAATAGAAGAGTGACTTTTAAAAAGCTCATAAATCAAAAGCAATACTATAAAATTGCTATGGTTTGTTGCTATTTTGATACTGGGGATTGAACACAGGGGCCCTTTATCACTGAGCTACATCTGCAGTCCTTTTTATTCTTTGAGACAGGGTTTTGTTAAGTTGTTGAAGCTGGCCTTGAACTTGTAGTCCATCTGCTTTAGTTGCATGGATTACAGGTGTGGACCTCTCTCTTACCATATCTGATCACATGCTACCAGGACAGGTTTGAGCACCAGAAAAAGGAGGGTTATAGGGGCTGGGTTGTGCCTCAGTGGTAGAGTGCTTGCCTGGCATGTGTGAGGCACTAGGTTCAATCCTTGGCACCATATAAAAAATAAATAAATAAAATGAAGGTATTGTGTCCATCTAGAACCCAAAACAAAGGGCTGGGGGTATGTGTTATGTTCCTATCACTGCCTCTCTCTATGAAGCTCCTGGACCTGCACCACTGTTTAGCTAACGATGAGTGCATGGATACCTCCAAAAGATCATAACACACTTGTAACAGGTTCCAAGAAATGATTTGGAAAACAAACAAACAAAACCCCAAGATCCAAGAAAGTTCAAATAAGCAGTGAAGTAAATTAGGAAAACAATGCAGGATATGAATAAGAAATTTAGAAAAGAGACTTTAAAACAAACAAATCTTGAAAATGAACAGCCTACTACATTCAATTGAAAGCTTCAATGACAAGCAGAAGTAAGGCTGTCAGAGCTTAAAGGCAAGTCTTTTCCAGTAGCATATTCAGACAGAAAAATGGAACAAGTGGAGACTATTAAGGGTCATTAGGATTCTACTGTAGTATCAAACATCTATAATCATTGGAATATGTGAAGGCAAGAAAACGATTAAAAGCATAGACATATCAATGAAATATCAGAAAATTTCCCTAATCTTGGAAAAGATTTGGATATAGATGAACAGAGACTTAAAGACCCCAAATAGATATGACCAGAAAAGATTTTCAAAACAAAACATTATAGTCAAACAGTCCAAAAGTACAGGACAAAGCAAGAATTTTCAAGAGGAAAATCACAAAATCACATTTAAAGGTAACCATTAATAAGTCAACAACAGATTTCTCTGCTAAAATCATACAGGTCAAGTGGAAATGGAATGATATCTACTAAGTCCCAAAAGAAAATAACTGCCAACCAAGATTACTATTCCCAGCAAGTTTATTCTAGGGAATAAATAACTATTAGATCAGCCTTACAAAAGACACTTAAGGAAGTCCTAACTCTAGAAATGAAAGAAAAATAACTACTGTCATGATAGCATGTAAATGTGTAAATCCTACTGAAGAATAGATACACAAAAGAGAAGGAAAAAACCAAACTTTAATAAAATAATCATTAAGTAACAAACATGAGAGGAAGAATAAAGAATATTCACCACATAAACATAAATAAAATAAATGTATTGTGCCCATCTACAACTAAAAATAAATGATGAACTTTAAAAAAATATTCAAAACAAATAGAAAATAAAGATATCAAGTATAAGCCTATACCTTTCAATAATTTTGAATGTAAGTTGACTAAATTCCCCAATTAAGAAATACAGACTTATCTGGATGAATTTAAAAACAAGACTCTCTAATATCCTACTTTTACAAGAAACTCACTTCATCAGTGAAGATACAAAGTTAAAGGATGGAAAATGACACTCCTAATGGAATCCTGAAGTCAGCAGGAGTAGCTATACTCATCTGACAAAATAGACCCTATGTGAAATGACACAGAGAAGATAACTATGGTCAAGGGATCAGTTCATTAAGAAGATATAAATATGGCAGATTAGAAGGGTGCACTTTTGAGTTTCTGATTTGGGATTCAAATAGCAAGAGTACTGTGCCTCTGCAAGATGTGTGATGAAGAAATCACAGAAATTTGATAGTGGATAGTCATGGAATCATACAGACCCAGTAATCTGGGTGCTTAGAACAGAGGACATGAAAGAATACCCTGGAGATAAGCCAGTGGTAGTAGCAGCATCAGTTCACCTTGGAGGAAAGGTGTAACAAAGTAATGGCAAATTTGGCACAAGAAAACCTACAGATAGAGAAAAGCAGTCTGAACTTACTTGAACCAGAGGCTGCATTGCAGTTGGTGTTAAAAGTCCTGTTTCTCAACTGGCAAGTGGAGAGCAAAGGTAGGGAGCCATCTTGAAAAGGCCACACTGCAG